CCAAAATTTGTAACCAAATAGCAAACTATTCGAAAAAATGGAAACAACCAGTTAATGTATCTAAAACAGTAGCACAGATTTTTCACTCACAAGTGCAAAATCCAATAATCAATGTTTTTATTGATGGCAAGAAATTAGAAATAGTTAAAGGGTTTAAATATCTGGGCTTCGCCTGGACAAGTAAGATGTCCTTAAAACCAACAATTGATAAAACTCTTGAGAATATTCAAAGAACATTCAGTAAGTTAAGATAGATGAAAGGTGGTAAAACTGTCTCAACAGACGTTTTGAGAAGATGTTTCTTTGCGTACAGTTTTCCGTATTTTGCCTGGATGTTTCCACTGTATCCATTCCTACCGAAAACCCAAAAAGAATTGTTGTTAAGAAAGTTTAGAAACGGATTAAGACTGGTTCATCGCTGTCCCTTTGCTCGAGCAAAAAACCTTCTACAAAAAACAAAAGAGGACTCTTTAGAAGCGTATGTAAAACGATATATAAAGAAAAGATTAGAACGAATTGAAAAATCAGATTTAGGTCGCTCGCCCTTTTACAATGATATATTTTATTGGGATTCATTCCATAAAGATAAGAATGATCACCTTGGCCATTTCTTTCGAATGAAGCGAGTCAGACGCAAACGTGACAGACATCAATCGCTGCTTCTGAAATGACTTGAATTTTTAGTTGAATGAAATCAGCCATGTGTTTTTGTTTTTTGTTTAATGTTCCGTGCTCTCTACCTCTCACTCTTTTACCGCGTCCCTATTTTTCTTGTTCTTATTCTTGTTCTTGTTCTTTTCTTTTATTCTCATTTTCTCCTTTAATTTCTTTTTCCTTTTCGAGTTATTTACATGTATAACTCTATACATCACACTCTATCTAGTAAGCATGGTATCTTATGATTATATTATTCTCTCTTCTATATGTTTAAAAGTTCATTGCCGTGATAATCAAACAGCTGGAAATTCTTACGGAAACTCTTGTAAGCACTTCCGAGTGTAACAATAAAAGAGCGAAATTTAAAAAAATTGCCCAGCTCACCGTTTTAGTAAATGGTTTTTCAATGTTTGTGCTAAAAACGTACTGACAATAACTGATTAACTGTTAGATTTATCGATATATTATAAATAAGAAATTGTGATTCCTTCCAGAATAGACCCTAGCGATAGAATAGTATGAGTTCATCAGAAAATAAATAAAACTCATGTATATATTTTTTTGAATATTTGAATATTATATTCTCTTTATGATTAGTTATTATTCGTTGTGTATATATATTAGAAAACCACTTTAGTCTATATGAACAATCTCTCTAGATTGCCATGGTTTGTAATTTTACTTCTATATGCAATTACGATTCAGAATATCAGCTACCTTACCTTTTAATATAAAATTCTATTTATTTATCATCTTTTTCGTTCAGATTCAGCTAAGGAGTTGTAATTAAAATAACTATTGACTTTCAAAGTCTTTTCGAAATAGAAAAATAACAGAAGCATTGTCGATTTTCTTGAGAGTACGAAAAACAAAAAAGAAATAGAAATTCACTTGACTCGAAAAACAAAAACTGACAATCAGAACTTTTCCAAAGTAATGCGATAATACTACTACTGTTCACTGTAAAAAATAATGTATGTAGCAAGTATCTGCTCTAAAAACCTGTTCAATTTCAACGTAAAACTGTATTCGTCATAAAGCGATCTTCATCTCCTAAAGGAACAGTAATTTATTTGGATTCAAAGGAGCCTTTAATGACATCGCAAGCTGATGCTAGATAAAAAAATCGATCTGAAAATGAATTGAAGATACTGCACAATAATTTCGTTATTATTCATTTACTAAGGCTCCACTGATTTGATTAGATTAAAGACCTCTGTTTTGTGCACGAAATATATTTTTTAGCAGCGCTTTTTGAATGAACTTGTTCGAATTAACCTGCGTTCTGTTATATTATATCAGGTATTTGTTTCTTTGTCGCTCATAGAAAAATTATTAACTTTATATTTATATTATATTTATTTTTTCGAATTATCTGATTTATTTATCTTTATTTTATAAACATAAATATTTCATTTATCGTTACTTTATAAATATAAAGAATTTATTAATCTTTATTTTTTAAATATAAATAAGATATTTATCTTTATTTTACAAATATGAACATTTTATTTATATTCACTCGTTATTATAAAGATCAATAAAGATCAATAAATATTAATGAACACCCATAATAGTCAGTCGAATAAATCACTGTACTGAAGTCGATCTAGTTAACGATGGTCAGACATTTACTAAATGATTTTTATGAATAGCATCGTTTTTCTTTACCAATGCACTCTGATTCAGCTTAGCACGTATTTCTGTATCACTATGCATGGACATAACTAAATTAGTCTCATCTTTCATATTCGACAACTATAAAAATGCAACTACTCATATTTTTCTCATGTGAGATTGATTCTGGATTATTAGATAGTCATACATATTATCGTTTGCTTGATCGATGGTATTAGACTTGCAATTTGTTTTGGTTCAGTAATATCATTTCTTGAAATCGTATTTCGAAAGTGTTCACTTCTCTTATTTAATATATTTTACATAATTATTGGATCATTATACAGAGTTCGAACAATAAAATAAAATTTGAAAAAGTTTCATGGATATTCTAAGCATCCATATTCATCTTGGCAATCAAAAATAGGTAAGGACTTTGAACAGTAAGTCACCTATGTTTCCACTGCTGCCATACTATCAGATCACACTTCTCACTGAAACAATATTATAGTAAGCTTTTGATTTTTCTATCGCAAAAAACGCAGTCACTACTGGTCAGTAATCATCAGTGTAAAACAGGGTATCTTGAAGGTACGGTTATGATGTGCATATATAACAGGTATCCCGAGCTTGTGAGGATTCGAGATGACTTCGTATGAATATTAAATTAGTTTCATATGGAAAAGTGAGATGTAGTCACGCAAACAATACTGTGAAATAATCATAGAGCATTCTATGTTTAAGAGACCATTCAATTCTTAATTTTTAATAGGAAATCATCGTGTGAGAGTAGATGCACGCGATTTTTTGTATTCAACTCCTTGTTTTATACTATAAGTGTTAAATCAATCTTATAAATGCGAATCGAATCGCAGCTTACATTATCAGATGCTGGCTTCATTCTCTCCGCCTGAAATAGAATTATTTGAAGACTACGCATACTGCATATCTAATCAGTCTTTGAATAAAAACAACAGCTAGCATTACGGGACTGAAAAATTGATTACTTTTTCTGGTAAACAATTGCCGAATTCTTCTATAGTACAGAGGCAAGAAAATTGATTTTGTGCAACTTCTGAACATCTGCGTAGAAAAAAAAGTTACGCAGCATGCTTTTATGTCTTCTATAATCAAATCTTATACATTCACCGGCATGTTAAAATTAGGCTGCGAAGCAATACAAATTGTATTCTTGGCGGCATGAAATAACATCATACAGTATTGTTTCAAACAATTATACATACATAAAAACTAGACAGAAACTATTGAAACAATACTATTCTGTTTCGCAGTCATTTGTTAAAATTTTTCAATTGAAAGCTACATTATGGTAAGCATCAGCATGAATTTATTAGTGTTATTTAAAAATCCCTCTCGTGCTCAATTTTATTGAATATGTGTAGGATCTAAATGAAGTTCATCCGTACGTGCAAACGCCACAAAACTCGGAGTATCCTTTACAACTCGCACCTAGAAATTGGCCAGAGTCCCCTTCCAATCAAATGTCGCGGTTAAGTAATTGGAATACAAATTCAGGTTATCCATTGAATTCCCAATCGAACATGATGGGTCAACCACAATACAGACCAGCAGATCAAAATCAATTGGCCCGAATGCATGCATGGGGGGATTCAACTATGGGTAAACCTAATGAAATAAATAAGCCCACAAATGCAAACTCAGCTTTGACGTAAGTCATCTTCTTTTACAAGTTGATGGATAATGATTGAAGTCAAAGTTGTCATTGTCCGCATCTCATAAACTCTGATCAGACGCGAGTCTTCATGTGCCTGCCATTGGTTCACTAAGAAAACTCACTTTATGCATGGATTATTAGCTTGAAATTGGTCCTACCGACGTGTTCTAAAAAACATAAAATTTTGTTAAGCCTACAGATTTATTTAAAAAAAATTACTCATTGTAAATTTTAACCGGAACTTTTTAATACTTCATTTAGCTGTCAAAACTTACTGGCAAAAGTGACTTCATCAAAAATGCTTTTCTTAATGGCTGGATTTATTGTGTGTGGCATACCATTAGCTGTTTTTCTAACACTCTGGTAAGAACAAAGCTATCACATGTTTTTTTTTCTAATTATTTTCGCGTTCATTTCCTAGGGCGAGCAGCCGCTCAACATCGGCAACAACAACAACAAGTTCGATTGTAACAACTGCAACAGTTTCAGGTACCAATAGCAACTCTCTCTTTGCTTCACACACCATCGTCGTACTCGTGCCAGAATTTTTTACAAGGAAAGCTAAGAATTTTAGGGAACCGAAATAAAATATAATATCATTACTTCTACATGAAATCAGCAGAACCTATATAAACAACATAATTAAATGTGAAATTAGAATCGTTTATTTTATGATTCTAAAAATGAATTTTACTCTCTATTTCACTTTTCTTTTACACGGGAAAAAACATTTTCTGATACATTCCTGTCTAAATTGTGCCATACTGCTAATTTCAAGTACTTCCTTTTTAGTTTCTTTACCAATACAATGCTATACTTATTCAACTCTCACTGAAGTGTATCGAAATTATCAGAATGGTTATGCCTGTTGTTGGTCCCCATATGATACCTCGCCATCTTTAACCCCTGGTTGGTATCGTTTTACAGGATCTGCAGGTTCATCAATTCTTACGACCCCTGTATTAACCACAAATACTTGTGGTACTAGTTATCCTGGCTATTTCAATGGAACGCTACCGTCTACAGTTGGTGCATCAGTAACAGGAACTGCTTGCTTTTTTACAGGAACTCCTTGTGGTTATTCATTAGCACCCATAACAGCTGTCAACTGCAGTGGCTATTATATTTTTTATCTATTGCCAGTGGTTAATTCAAACTATAGATACTGTTCGACAACCTAAGAGTCTCTATCAGAATAATGAAATATTTAATCCTTGATTTTCAATTGAGTGATTTTTTTCTATTATACTGCTTGAATATATGACTTATAGTTCTTCTGTGTGCATCCTCATACCTTTCTTTATTTTTTTTTCTACATATCGAATAAACCATAAATGTTAAACGGCTTGTGTTGCTGTGAAAAAGGGTGTGTAGGTACCACAAAGTAAATACTCATAATCACTTTAGATCCGTTCCCAATATATATATATATTTTTTATATGCTCTAACTCTCCCTGAGTGCTTGGAAAGGACAAAAGTTATTTTTTTAAACTTTCTGGTTGTCTACTCTTTTGATTCAGTATGGAATGGCTGAAATCTAGATGTTACATAGTTTCACAAGCAGTTCGCGAAGGGTCTCTTAAATAGCAAGTCTACACTTATTTATTTTTCAAGCACACTGCTAACATAGACCTCCACAATCAAATACAATATTTCAATAGCAAAGACAACGTCAAAATCAATAAAAATATTATTTGATGGTGAGTATTCCAACTGCTGATTTGTTCAGTACTCATTTCGAACAGAACTTACCGTATCTGCTAATCACATTCAATAATAAAGATCCTGATGTACTTACTATTGCAAGTTCATTCTATGATGAGTTGACAGTGCTGAATGTCGAAGTCGATGTGATCTTTAATATATGATAATGATATCTGTCTTTTTTTTCTAGATATTTTAGTTTTTGTTTTCTATCTTTAATTAAAAAGCAACCTTTGTCATTCCGAATATATATTTCTAACATTTTTCACAAATGATTCGTAGAGAGAGAGTAAATACTTGAACAAGATGACTTCATAAGTTCAGAAAATACGTTACAATAATATATTTTTTGTCTTATGTGATGAAATAGTGAGTATATCTCAATCGAAAGACAAGTTCATCCATGAAAACAAACTTGAGAAGCTAAACAGTAGGAGAGTGATACAGTATATTAACCAGAAAGCCAAAACATGATGACTTTTCCAACAATTAATTTCTGAAAAACGCTCGCTATTGTAATGATCTTATGAAAAAGCAATGGTATGATAGGAAATTTCTAATTACAGTTAATTTATCTCAATACAAATGATCGACTCTCGTAGGAAAACAAGATTATTTTGCTTCATGATTTTTCATGAAATATCTATAATAGTTTAGAATTTTTCTGAAGGATGAATAAAATTGTGCCCTGTACCGATGAAAATTCCTCTCATACAGGTTCGAGTTAAATGTCTGATAGAGTATGTGCACTGAATTGTAAGAGCTTACCATTGAAACTGTTATTATAATAATATTTCTAGTTTTGATCCATTCTGTAATATAAATTTAATTTGAGAAATTATTGTTTTCTAATCATGAATCATTCAGTATTGTCACCGATAGGAAGCAGAGCTCGGACGAAAGTATTTGTACCCGTACTTTTTGTACTTTTTCGAGTATAAGTACAAGTAACAAATACTTGGTTCAAAATTCAAGTACAAGTATCATTACTCATCAGATGGGTTTGGTACTCGTACTTATACTTAAAAATAGATACTTAGTACTTGCATTAGTACTTGTTACTTGAGCAAGTACCACGTACTAATACTTTTACTTTCACCATAAGTACTATACTTGGTACTTGTACGTGTATTATACTTGTACTTGCACTTAATATATTTACTTTAGAAAGTTTTTTGTTACATAATTCTGTTTTCGAGTTCAATACTTATATGGAACTGCATTTCGAAGGAA